AGATGGATGAAACGTAATTGGAACTTGGATAATTGGTTTCCTCAAGCTTTTTGTATTTTATTTTATTTATTTATTTTATTTTTATTCATTTTTTTAATTATTATTTTTTTTTTGTTAATTGAAGTGCAATTCTCTTGGCAAATGATGCTTCTGAACCTCATCTCGACATGAAGTATGTTGAATTGAATGGTGTTTTAACGTCCTTAGCATAACTACGTTGACTCAGTGACATCATTTCTACTCGGCAAAGAGTACGCATGCTTGTTTAGTGAGGGCATAATGGTGCTCATTCCATCCATTGGTCTCTTTGTTCTTGATCTGTAGTGCCATTGCTAAATGGCTTAAGCCCCTTTGATTGTTTTGCTCGGCAGATGTTGCTCTTGGTCGGAGGCAATGACTTAATGTTAATTTGCTGCAATGTTAACAAATATTTCGGCTGGAATAGGCGGACGGTCAGCTTGTCAAGTCACTTGATCGGCAACTTGGCTCTTTCTCTTGCTGAAGCACTTGGTCGGCAACTCTACTGAGTTCTTTGGTTTGCCAAGGCACCTCATCTGTAACGCCCCAAAATTCGGGACCATCAAAATATATATTAATGAAAAATTACAGGGTTTTTTCTATGGTTACAAGACCCAAAATAAATATATATATATATTAGAATCAAATGTGAAATGGACAGTGTTGCCTAAAATTTTACAATTTCATAAAATAAAAAAAATAAATAAATAATTGCGAAGCAAAATCTAAAAAATCCGACGTCGATCCATGCCTACCGCTGCGTCTCTAACTTTTCCCCGGCACCTTGCTAGTCAGCGCGTGATTGCTTCCGAAATTTGGCATGAAATGCCGGTAGGACGAATAGCCATAAGCAATGATGCTTAGTAAAAACACACACACAACCTAACTTTCTACAACTCCAAATAATAAAGCAATATGGTAGTAACAAATAAAGATATACACAATTACAAGGTAATGTAGCAAAATGTACAATAATATGTAGAAAAAACATTAAATACGCAAAGGCAATTAATAATTTTCAATTTTTGTAAGTGAAAACAATTGATAACAATTATGAGTGTTAGCTGACAATCAATTACATAATTCTAGGCAACTCTTCGTAGAGTGTCTTACCTACTCAACCACAACCACTAAGTAATGGACACGGGTAATTCTAACTCTCCTTTGGTCAAATATTCAAATATTACCGCAATAACTACCAATGATGCCCATGCATGAGGGTTACATACCCGAGTCGTGACATCACGGTCTGTCCCATGGAAACGGTCTATGTTGTGACACCAGCACCACCAACCTTATATCGCCTATACCGATAAGAGCTAAAATACCTTCCCGTGCCACGTTAGGGTTCAAAACTCACTCGTGCTAGGCTTAACTCAAAGGGAACACACCCTACCATTATTTCAATACCGTATCAACGGTTACATCATCCTTCCATTATTAACCAAGTTTCAATACCATAACAACGGTTACAACATCCTTCCATTATGTCATAATCTACTCATTCTGATATTCGGCATGGAAACTCTAAATTTATTAAATAATCATTTTCTTGATCTCAAGAAAACATAACAACATCACACTTAAAATCATGATATCATGCAAGAATAACGTTACTCGAGATTTAAGCAAGTTCCAATTTATTCAATAATGTTTCATAGGATTAATTAAAATGTGGCAACCATATACCCCAAAGTCATGAAACCCATCAACTTAAGACACTTTTCAAGTCTAGAATATGCAAATACAACTTCAACACAAAAAAATTAGTTTCAATTGTTATAAACTAACATGTATCTCATAGATTTAAATAAAATAATTAAAACATGCTCTTCATACCAATTCACGTAATCATGCCTTTGAACACTTAAGAACAAATAACACAAAGGTAATAATTTTCAGCGTTTTTGTTTTAGAATAACAAGCCAAAAGAATGGATTTGTAAACCATTTAGGATCTCTTTAGGTTCTAAAATTTGAACACAACATAGAACAAGTCCACTTTCATTTCAAGTTTTCTTTCATAAGTTGCATAACATAACCAGAGATTTATCTATAGGCCATTTACTATGTTCTGTCCATATTCTTAACAGTGAACGATTCTAAAGAAAAATACGAGCTCATACCAAATGATGTCAAATGATCACGATATTTTTACTAGAGATAGTTCAATAAGTTAGGAAGATATTTCAAGAGGAACTATAGAGCTAAAAATCACTTTATGATAGAGAACTCATTTTTGGAAGAAAACTGGTATATTCAAACAGTGAGTTTAGCAGACTCCAGCATAGGTAAGCTGAGTTAGAAAAATGAATAGAGGAATCAAACGATGTCCAAACTAAGTGATACCAGAACCAATGGAAAGGTATTTGAGTTAGGGATATTTTATTAGAAGGATTAAAAGTATAAAAATCACATCAAGGGGGTGAAAATACATGTTCAAGCAGTACTGGTCTGTTCCTATTGCGTTTTAGAAAAATGATTATCACTCTCTCAATAATTAATATTTTTCAGTGATTCTTGTGTACATAGAAAGGTATCTCATATATCTAACATTTGGCACTGGTTTCACTCCGTAAGGATTTTTTTAGAGAAAATGGCATAGAAACAAAGTGAGGGTTAACTGCTACTCCCAGAAATCTGTAGGATCCAACCGTAAAGACAAGAGGTTTTCGAAACTCAAAACGCATCCCATTATCTTACAAAAATGCAAGTATACCAATAACTTATTGATAGAGGGTATATCAAAATTTCAGAGCAAAATGAATTTTTTTTCTTGTGTGTGAATTTTAGAAAATCAGCAAAGTTAATGCATATGAATATAATCAAAGCAGACAGGGGCAAAAATCGTACCAAGTGTTAAGCTCTACTCCTATTCAATCAATTTTCACCATACACATACATGATACAAAAATACATAATCAAAACAACCAAATATCAGATATAGGGGAGGAGAAGGCAAGGTGTTCTTACATTGCTTGCTAGCTTTCAAGTTCTCCTTTCTAGCTCTCTTTTCTTTCCTCTTCTTTAGCCATGTGTGTGTGTGTGTGTGTGTGTGTGTGTGTGTGTTGAAGGGGCTGATGGGATTGCTATATAGGAAATGAGGAGGAGATATAAAAGTATATGTGTCTCTTCTAGGGATTTGAATGTGAGACAAAACCTTGCATGCTTGCAAGTCTTCCTAGCTTGTCTTCCTTGGGAGTTTGGGATGTAATAGTATGCCTAGACAATTCTTGCTTGCGAAGAGAAAAAGGGAGACGCAAGTGTATGGAGGAAAGAAGAGGGGACAAGTCATAAATAGGGATTTGTCCTCTTAAAGATTCTTCAAGACCAAATACAAATACATATATATGTGTATATAAATACATGAATTTATACACATTAATATACATGGTACTAGAGAATATACAAAATACATATATACTAATACACATAGTATACGAAATTAATAAATTAAAGAAGAAATATAATATATGCAATCATATTTCTAGGGTTTAATATGCATTAGAACAAAAATTCAGGACTTAAAGTGGGCTAATCAAAAACTCAGGGTTTAGCGAATAATTATTAGAATTTGAGGCCTCTATAAATGAAATTAAAGAATTGTAGGACTAAATATACCAATAGCAGCGAAGGAAATCGATTAAAGAAATTCGTCATGAAAATTTATTACCGAAATATATTGCAAGAATAGGTAGCTAAAAATAATTTACCATATAAGTTAATATATAAAAATTCAGGTTCTCACATCTTCGGTAGCTCGGTTTAATCCTGTTAAAATTTCATTGGCCAACGAGTTGGGCGACTTTGCTTGCCGAAACATTTCTTCGGCAATTCGTCTTGACCTTATGTGTTGCCGAAACCTCTTCTAGAGAGAGTATGTTAAGTCTTTGTAGATCTACAAACTTGATCTTGTTTTTCTAACTTTTAGGAAGCAAAAATAGATATGCACATATATGTATAAACTTGGTCAAGTCTCTGTATTCAACAAAGGGTAGACACAATTTGTGAGCATAAATATATATATATATATATATATTAAAGTTGAACTTTAGCAATAAACATATAGAAAGAAGAGAAAGACCTAGTCGTGAGTCTACTTTTCCTAAAAAGAGATTGGATAGAATTTGATTTTGTAAAAAGCAAGATCACTAACCTTTGTGGTTAGATCATATTTACTTACAGTATATTGGTCCGAGCACCTTGAGGGTAGTGTTTTCTCTTCTCTTCATTGAATTCTTTAGCTCCTTCCCACAGACGACATCGATTGTGAGATCTAAAAAATCCTCTCATATGGATTGTTGAAAAGATCCAATCAAGAGAGGAGCTTTGCCCTGTAGATCTGCGAAAATAAACATGGTTGGCGCCACCCAATCAGGGTTGCCGATCGAGGACACTTCGACGATAAAGTTAGACTCTTGAATCAAAGAAAGAAGATGAAGAACTAAAGAGTGTCTGTGTGCTTTGTTGCAAAGAGATGAGACATACCTCTATTCCTTGGAATGCCCTCCTTTTATAAATAGGGGTGTGATATTTGTTTATGGGCTTCCTTGTTTGGGTTGAGCCTATTGTCAGGACTTGTTTGAGTTATCCCCAATAAGCTGGTATTTTTTGGGCTCCCAAATATCATATGAGTTGTAACTAAACAATTTTAGGATCATAATCAAAAAATAATATTATAACCAAGATCAAATTGTGTCATCACTAATAATATAGTAAATCATAACAAAAAATAAAAAATTATAATCAAAAGTATATATGGTAAATGTCCTGAATATAATTTTCTTTTATTTATTTTTTCTATTTACTTTGACCATACGAAGCATTTTTATTTTATTTTTAGATTGGACCGCATGAACCTCTTGAATAATTTTTTGTACAGTTTTCTTCCACCTACTCTTTTAATTTTATTATATTACTACTATTATTATTATTTTATTTTATTTTTTTAATGAGGCAACTACGCATATAAGAGCAACACTTTGGCCACAGATGCTGGGAAGTACAGAGAGAGAGAGAGGCGTAGATAATCGATGGCCGAGATTGGATTTTTCCTCCGGACAGAAAATCGTACAGATGACGATGATGATATGATCCGTGACTTTCCTCATGATTTCAAATCATATGTGAAGAACCACCAGCTGCTCTGCCAGCGCGGAGACTATAACATTGGCTGGGTTTTTTCGAGTTGTGAACGTCTTCCTCCTCCGCCTCCCTTCTCCGGTTAGTTCCTCTCTCATCTCATGTCATATGTTCCTGAGTGGTTGGCTTTCACTCCAATTACTCCATTTTTTTTTTTTTTGCTGGGTCAATTATTCTTTATTTATTTTTGATAAATAAATCATATTATAATAAATAAAAAAAAAGAGAGATATACTGGGCGTTTGAGGAAGATTGTTAAAAGATGACTTTTTGATTTTTTTTTTTTTAACTTTTTAACCGCTGCTGCGAATACGGTTAGTTTCGCTCTCATCTCATCAGTTCCTATTACTGGAGTGTGGCTTTGACTCCAATTATTCTCCATTTAAATAACCAGGGTCTTAAAACACTTATTAATTTCCTTTCTTTATTAAAATATTTTTTTTTTTAACTTTTTAACCGCTGCTGCGAATACGGTTAGTTTCGCTCTCATCTCATCAGTTCCTATCACCGGAGTGTGGCTTTGACTCCAATTATTCTCCATTTAAATAACCAGGGTCTTAAAACACTTATTAATTTCCTTTCTTTATTAAAATATATATATATATATATATTCTATTTTCCTTAGTTTTATCTCTGAGAAAATCCGGACTCCTCTTGTCAGTCTAAATATATACTAGAACACAAATTAATAAATTTTAAAAAGAGAGATAGATTCTACATTAAAGAGCGTATGATAATAAAATTTACACCAACAGGGAGTTGATTCAGTAGATTAGACCTTCAAATCACTCGCTCAAGGCTTGGATTTGAGTCTCTATAATCCCTTGTTAGGATTAAACATACTCTTCAGTGTCTGGAGCACACAGTGGCCTAAGCTTCGGCCCCGACATAGGTGCAATATGCAGGGGCCTAAGTTTTGACTCCAATGTAAGTGTGTTGGGATTCCTTGCAGATATGTATTCCCTGATGGATATGTTGGAATATCCTATCTGCACATCCATTTGGTTGAATCAAAAAGATAATAAAATTTACAATTTTAAAATTAGATTTAGAGAATTGCTATATATATATACTAATGTAATACCATGCTATGCACAATTTTAAATAAACAATTAATAATTTTAAAATTAAATAGAAAAAATTAAAATATACAAAAATGAGAGTAAATTTTAATTATTTTCATCAAAATTTCATTTATAGGGTGTTCTTGTTTCATTCTTCCCCCCCCCCCCAACAATTAATGCTATGTTTTGAGTTTTAAATAACAAATAATGTATCATAACGTAGATAATAGAAAATGTAGTAAATTACAACAAAAAAAAAAAATACTTTTTTTTAGGAACAAAATGTACACTTATGATAAAATATAAATATATTATTCTTTCCTAGAGGTTTCATAATTTTAGTTTTTCATATGTTAGATTCATCTAATGATATAGTAGACTGTGTATATAACAATTACTTTTATTTGTTTTTTTTTTTTGTAATGTTTTATTTTTATTTTTTAATGGAACTCGATCAAGCATAATTTGTTTAAATCAAAATCAAATTAAATAATGAAATCAAAAGGACAAACAACGAAGTACCAATAACCCATATCTCTGTGTCATCCTGCGAATCAGCCTCTACCCAACAAATTACAACTTCTAGATTTTGTCACGCCCCCTATCTTCAGCAAACCACATTAGGCCTTTTTCCTGTTCTCCTCTCCTACCCTCTTCGCAACTTTCATGCCCCCAATCGTCCTTTAACCCTTTCTCTTGCTAGGCATTTTAACTTCTCTTTCAATGGTCATTGCTTTGTCGCCACCATTTTGCTCAACCCTTAAGCTCACTTATATTTGTAAATAAAATATTTTTTTTTGAGGATAACGCAGCAAATAAAATTAACTATGCAAACGCCTTACATCAGTAGCAAGTTTGTGAGCAGCGTGAACCACATCACGGTCCACTTTTTGTAGAACAACATGATCAAAAGATTTACATAATAACAAAATGTCCGCAAGAATGGATTGGAGACTCCAATCGGATTCTTGAGCATGGTGGTGGAGCAGCAGAAGAAGGACTAAACAATCTGTTTGAATAAGCAGATGGTTGATACCGCACTGGACTGCCCATCGCATAGCATGGAGAACCGCAGCAGCTTCTACCTGTTGAGGAGATAACATTGAAGGTCCCAAAATAGCTTCCTCATAGACTTGGTGATCATCAGAATCGAAGCAAACCCACGCCCGACCAGTGCGCTCACCTACAGCAACCCAAGAGCCATCCACAACAATACGCGTACACGGACCAGCAGCAATGCAAGACTGAGCATTCTGAAGAATAACCTGCTTAACAAAACTGTTTGGAGGAGATGAACTAGAGTGAGAATTCTCATAGGTAACATTATGCAAGGGTGAAAGAAATGATGTTAGTAACTCGGAAGCAAACAATATCGAACGTTCTATGGACACCTCAACTTTATGGAATTCTACAGAATTACGTTGCATCCAAATGGCCCATAATAAAGCAATGGAATGCGTTACAATCTCCGAGTCATGTATTTGTTGCACCCAGCCTTTAAACCATGAAAAAAAGGATAGAGGTCGTCCCACCCCAAAATCTAAACCCAAAGTCGACCCACGCCAAATCCGTTGTGAAATGGGGCAATCAAAAAACAGATGTTCAAGTGATTCCGCATCCTGGAAACATCTAGAACAAATAATATCAATTGGCATCCCCCTTTTCTTTAATTCAGTTTTAACCGGAAGAATATTATGAAGACATTTCCACACAAACAAAATCCATTTAGGGGGGATCTTGAACTGCCATAAGCGTTTCCAAAGTTGCCAATCCGGATCAGGCCTAGAATGGTCGGGAAACTGACGGGTTAGCGCTTGCTTATAGCCGGATTTGACTGAATACTCGCCATTTTTGGTCGGCCCCCACACCATTTTGTCCTCGATATCAACTTGAGAAATGTGCATTGATACAATATAAGGGAGAACATATGGAGGAAAAAACAATTTCAACAATTCAAGACGCCAAGATCGTAGCACGGGATCTATGAAATGTGCAACCCTTAACCCAGGACACATAGCATTCCAACCGCGGCCTCTGCAAGGATTTGAAACAATCGGAATCCATTGATCTTCAAATGGGTTAATCTACATATCAATATATTTGGCTTAGATCCTGACCATGAACTATCTTAGAACATTTTATTAGTCAATGCCTAGCCCATGGATAAACAGTTTAGTAAGTCTTTATAATTATTTAATCAAATTGCTCGGATTGGACATCTCATTTGATTCACAGTTAAAATTTGAGAATGAAAATATCTAATTTACATAATTTTACACACTCTCTCACATGAGTGTGGTTAGAACGCTATGTAATAAATTAAGTACTTATATTTTTACTCATAGTTATGCATAACTCACTTTAAATTATGTATCTTTTATAGATTTTTAAATTGAGTTATGTTAGAGTTATCATATTTAGATATCATAAATATACTTTTTGATTTTTTATAAAAAGACGTACAGAAAAGTAAAAGGTTGATGTGACTCAAAAAGATAAAATGATAAATAAGTACAATTTTTTTAGTTCATGCCAAACAAACTCTAGCCACATCATTTGTTAGGCCCCACATGATACATATGATTTGTGTTATGTAAAGTGCTACGTCAAATGTGATCATAAAAAATTATTAACATTTTATTTTGAACATTCCTTTTGAAGATTGCAAATTTAAATAACTAAACCTTAAGCAAGAAGAGATATATGTTACTATGCATAAATTCCTTCTAGAATTTGTTTCTTATGAAAATTTTATTTATGTCATAGAATATTTATATGAAAAATAATTTTTTTTCATATTCTTCTTCAACTTTAAATTTGAACTTCAAAATCTATTAGTAATTGTTTAAATTAGATTTGGCTTAAATATGAACTTTTCATCTAATTTTTTTTAAACTTTAAATTAGATATGTTGGATGGGTTAATAATTTTATGAACGCGTATTTATTAATTTTTATAAATTTCAGTTAATATTTTGAAGCTCTTAAAACATTTTAGGTAGAAAGTCATTTTGTGTTAATATATAGATAATAATAGATTTGAAAAAATTATTACTCACAAACAATAAGTATAGGAGTGATGTTAGGGACCCCAAATGTGTGGGTCCCACATCCATGTAAGATATTTGGTAGAAATTTTGATAGAATTTTTTGGATCTCTAACTGTTTTCATAGTTTAATTTATCAATAAAAAAACAAAGTGATAATTGCTACATATGTATGTTTTCTGTTATAGAAATTAAAGTCAGATTACTACTCATTAAAGATTCAGGATCATAATCAAGAAAATTTTAAAAACTTACCATATTGATTAACAATTTTTTTGAATTAAATGAAAAAAAATAATAATAATAATAATAAATAAGGAAGAATCAAGAAAATTTTAAAAACTTACCACATTGATTAACAATTTTTTTGAATTAAATGAAAATAATAATAATAATAATAATAAATAAGGAAGAACTGATAATATAATTAAAGAACCCATAACGTTTTGTTAAATAGATAGTAGATATGTAAATAAATTTTAAAAAGAATATCATGATTAATAAAATCTATTATTTATTAATTTTATTATTTTATAACATATGTATCTTCATACTATAAATTTTAAAAAAATATTTTTTAAAAAAGTATCATGATTTAGGGAATATATTACCTTATTGATCAATAAATTAATAATGACATGAATTTTGATATTTTGAAATATAAAAAAGTTTTACTTGATTTCCATAGAAAAATATTTCAAAACAAAAGGCCTTGAACACATAATGGATCTTGAAGTACTATTTCCGTATCTCCCTGACCAAATCCGCCTACATTAGGATTACTCGTTAATGGTTGATCAAATTTGATGTATTCGCCTTCTGAAACAAGAAGTTGGAGGGATAATATCAACTATTTGATGTCCATCCAATGCATCTGCTATGATTATTTTGTATCCTCCCTTTTCGTTTTGTTTGATTTTGCTTGCTATACTTCTTGTTGTAGTATTATAAACTGTATTGCTACTCTTGTTCCCGTCGGAATAAATTTGACCCCTTCCCCTGTTTTCGCCTACACATATAGGATATTTTAAGAAGTGAACATCTTTCTCAGTTGCAAGGATTTGGGGAAAGAATAGGAAAGGTGATTTCAATATATTTCTGACCAAGAACATGGCCTATATATCACAAGAATATTTTTTTTTTATTGGGGCGGTAACTCTGAAAAGACCGATTGCCTATCTTTTCTTTCATTTTGGGAGAAATACAATCAGGAGGGGCTAATTCAAAACCCTCCAGTAAAATAAGAACAACCCCCACATTCAAAGCCCTATTTTTACCATTAGCAAGAACTTGGTTCAATTGCATATCATAGGAATTCGAACAAGTGCTTCAAATACAGTATCAGGAAGTACCACTTGTGGAACCTCAATATCCATGGGCTTATTAGCTAAATGGCAATTGGCACATACAATACATCCAGTCGCTTCTCGTGGATTTTCATAACCCTACTATGCAAAAATGGGATATGCACTTGAAATGAATGTCCAAGTTATAATATATATCATGAGCGATATGAAAATGGATTGAGTAATTTGTTCCTTTATCCAAGAAAAAGTATTTATAGTTTGCATGTTCCAATCATTGATCCTAAAAATTTCTAAAATAAATTGGGTAGGTCGCTAGTATAGTTCCCTATCCAGGATTATGCCATTTATATTTACTTTTACTAGAATAATTTTATTGGAATAATATAGGAGAAATCTCCCGGATGGATAGAAATAGAAAGAGCAACTACAATAAATGATTTGCTTCTATACAACTACAAAGTAACAAAGGTTATAATTGGATTAGATTAATATCAGTAATCATTTGTCAATCATTCATTGAATGATAAATCATTCTGTGTCGAAATTTTTCTATGAAAATATTGAGGGACCCCAATTATTATGAAAATATTGCACGTCATTTATCTTATAAAATCTTAATATCAGGAATCTTAAACTAAAAACTCCATAATTTTTTGACATATGTACTTTTATATTGTTTTTAATTTTAAAAATTGAGAAAAAAAGCTTTGAGACTTTGAATCACAAAGACCCTACAATGTTTTTGATTATATTATATAATGTCATGTACACGTTGGAATTATGATTTTTTATAGGTTTATTTTGGGCTAACTTTGAGCCCAAATTTGAATGGGGCCGACACGTCTTTTGGGGTGGGTTCAAAAAGGTGACGTGTTCCTTGCCGCATGGTAAGTCACACGGTGAAGACGGTTCATCAAAACTATTTATGAGTGAATGGGAAGTTGACGTCGTTTTCGGTTTCATGGAATGGACAATTAAAGAGTAAAAATGTGGGTTTCCTTGAAATAGTTGTCCCACGTTGAAACTTTAAGAGAGCTTGTACGTGTATATAAGTTCTAGATAGACAAACTTGGGTTGGGCCCTAAGGGGCACCCCAAGTTTGCAGAAGGGAGGAATTATCGACAAAGTGAGCTTTGGCTCAAACCACCACACGCGCGCGCGCCGGGTGTGGGTTCGGCCGAGCCGTGTCGGGTGTGGGTTGGGTCGGTCCTAATATTAATTTTTTGCACAAAATTTATTTGAATTTTTTCAAAATTCTTGCGGGAAAATTATTTAAATTTTGAAACGAAATTAATTTAATTTTTTATGTCCAAACAGTGCCTCTTCTAGTCCATTTCCAACAGGTTCAAACAGTTTGTTCAAACTGTTTTAATAGTTCGCACCGAACAAGTTCAAGTTCTGTCCCGAACAGATTCAAACTTTTTTCAACAGGTTCAATTCAAATTCAGCCCTGTTCAATTTGATTTTATACCTGTTTGGCCTTTCCCAATAGTCACCAGTTTTCCTATAAATTTAGATTCATTCCAGCAGATTTTTACATCCAGAAAATTCATTTCTCTTCTTGTTTTTACTCTCTCTTTGCATTATTCTTCATACTAGTTTTTTAGAGAAAATTCTGAGAATATAGAACACAGGTTCTAGTTCGCCGTACATATTGTTTGGAGTGCTACTACAATTTGTGTAGATCATTGTATCCTGAAAGATAGACGTCATTTATCCATAAGCACCGAAGCGGGACGAATCTGTCTTAAAGACAGAGTGTCACACACTTGACTTGATCATTTTTATTGTTAAGTTGTTTCGATAAATAAATTTTGTAAGTAATTTATTTTTATTTGTTTGATTTGTTTCACATTGTTTTCTCCTACACAAAAGATTGTTCCAACACACGTTATATCAACATTAAATAATGCATAGGGGATACTTATTATATTATTTGTTTTTGCTATTTTTTTTTCAAAAAAAATAATCATGACTATCCACAGGCTAATAATACCTCCCCCCTCCCCCCCAAAAAAAAAAATTGTACAAAATGGGTGACACAAAACAAAACAGATGAGATGATACATCGGAGTTTGTGTATTTTAATGTTATAATTTTTTGACATATATACTTTTATATTTTTTAAATTTTAAAAATTGAGAAAAAAAGCTTTGAGACTTTGAATCACAAATACCGTACAACGTTTTTATTTATATTATATAATGTCATGTACATGTTATATCAACATTAAATAATGAATAAGGGCACTTATTATATTATTTGTTTTTGTTATTTTTTTTAAAAATTAATCATTACTATCCACAGGCCGATAATACCTCACCCCCAAAAAAATAATAAATAATAAATAAATAAATAAATAATTGTACAAAATGGGGTGACACAAATCAAAACAGGTGAGATGATACATAGCGTCGGAGTTTGTGTATTTTAATATTAAAATAAGTATAATATTTTTTGTTTTTATTATCTTCAATGTTTACAATGAAGCAAAGGGTACTTGCGTAAGTTTTTATAAATATACCTAAATTAATTCATAAAAATTTTAAAAATCACAACTTACGTATATTTATGAGAACTTATACGATTTTGTGAGGTAACTTATGTATAATTGCACACCCAAAACCTTGCACACCCAAACACTGAAGCAAATGATTGTAAAGTAATTACATAAATAGTGAATCATAAATGCAAATAGTTGCATATGTTGAAGACGGGTGAAGAATGGTGAAAACATGAAGACCAACACATAACATTTTCTCTTTTATTTTAACAAAATTTATATATATATAGATTTAGATACCATTTTCTTTTCTTGTGGTACATTATTCTTACTTGGCTTGTATTGTTTTTTTGGCTAGGAAATTTGCAAAATCATACAGATATAATCGATGAAACCTTGATTGCTGCTTATCCACAGTTTATAGATGCATTAAAAAATCTCTTTCGAGAGATAATATTAAAGTCAGCAGCCCAAGTTCTTGTTCAGTTTTGGAAAGTCATAGAAATTGGGGGCAAGCGTTTACTTACAATTCAACACCAACCTTTTAGTCTTTCCTACATCGATGAAGGACTTTGTTTGTATAGGTTGATGTCTTTGGATAATGAATGTTATGTGGATGGAGAGAGTGAGGAAGATCTTGGCCTCCTGAACCGTGTGTTCCGACATCAACAGGAGGAGTCTACTCCAAATGTGCGGTATTACTCCTGCAAAGAGTATCCACAGCGTGATCATGCTATCGTTTGCAATATTTGGGGATCTCGGGCTATACCATTGTTTGAACCTTCTAGGCAGGACTGTGTTGGTGTACTTGAGATAGTGACGACGATTGAAGTATCAAAATTCTTTTATCTTTTGGAACTTTCGGTCTATGTTAAGGTTTGTCCACCAACTCCCTATTTGGAATAACCAGTTCCATTTTAATGATCTCTTTTTTTTCTTTTTTTTCTTACTTTGTTTATTCCATTTTTTTATGCCTATCCAGTTATTGTTGGTTTCAATTTTCAATGATGTTTATTCTTCTTTTTCTTTTTTGTTGATGAAGCTCAAATTATTTTACTTGTTGGTTCCGTTTTACTAGCCAATCCTTTTAATGGTTCAATAATCTTGCCCTTCCATTGATTTCGTTGTGTGAATCGTATAACATGGAGTTCGCAACAATTCTTGCATCTATTGAGCCTTAGTTGAATTTTGTACCAAGGCAATAAGGTTTAATATGGAGTGAAAATAGAGACAAAAAAGAGAAAAAAAGAATGCAAAGGTTTAATGTGGTTCGGTTAATATTGGTCTATATCCACACACATAAAGCCCTAAGGGGCTACATCTTTCATTCATACAACTTAATGCTCTTATTTACATGATACAGTATATATATAGAGTTGGAAATACAATTAAATTCCTTCAATTAAGAAATTGAAATAAATCAAAGATACAAAAAATCATGATAAGCATAAATCATGGGATCTCCATATATTTTGATATTTTTCATATCTTCTTATATCTTTAAGAATATAATCTTATTTCCAACAGTCTCCCTCAAGTTTGAACACAGAACCATTAAAGTGAAGTGTCCAACTTGAATTCTAAAATGGGATGATCATTACAAACAAAACTACAATGAAGTTGTTGAAAGACAACAACAATTGTAATAACTCCTTTCAATGACAACTTAAAAGAACATAGGTAAGGAATCAACATCTTGCAACAAAGAAACGTGCACGGAATCAGTCATGATGGCAGCTAGAGAAACCAACCGATAGAGTGAAAGAAATAAGACCAAAGCAATGGAAAATCACTACAAATAGAAGGCCGAAAAAAGGCGTCCCATGAAGAATGCTACTACCAAACACACCGGTAATCCAAAAACAAAAAAGAATCAAATATGTGCTTACCACATCAGTAAAGGAACCCTAAAAGGATAGAGAAATAGATGAAAAACTCAGTTTATCATAGAATAATGTTACCGAACACACTCGCAGCTCCAAAACAATTAAAAATCACAAAGTTTGCTTACAACATTAGCAAACTAATGGTTGACTAAAGGAAGAAGGAAAAGCACCTCGATAACAAAAAATGTTGAGTGAGAAAGCACTCCATAGAGAAACATGCCTAGGTTTCAATAGGCTCTGATACCAAGTTGAATTTTGTAATAAGGCAATAAAGTTGAATATGGAGAGATAATAGAGACCGAAAAAAAGAAAAGAAAGAACACAGAGGTTTAACGTGATTCGGCCAATATTGGCCTATATCCACACGCCCAAAGTCCTAGGGGCCTACATCTTTCATTCAAACAACTTAATGCTCTTGTTTACATGATACACCATATATATAGAGTTGGGGATACAATTAAATCCCTTCAGTTAAGAAATTGTAATAAATCAAATATACAAAAAATTATGATAAGCAGAAATCATAGGATCTCCATATATTCTGATATCTTTCATATTTTCTGATATATTTAACAATATAATCTTATTTCTAACAAATTGAAAAGCCCAACCCACACTTTTCTTTAAAACCCAGGTATTAAGGAGAGAGAAACTAGAGTCTTATAACCAACACAATGGGGCAACTCTAGGCAATGTGGGACACATTCCAACACACCCTCCTGGACCACAACATACAGCAGTTGGACAAACAGCACACCAGTTACAGGCCCAACTAAGCTCTGATACTAAATTGAAAGCCCAGCCCACGCTTTTCCTTAAAACCAAGGAGATGGAAACTTAAGCCTTATAACCAGCACAGATGGGGTAACTCTAGGCAATGTGGAACACATTTCAACATTATTCTGATATCAAATCATTGAACTTAATTGTTTGGATAAATTACACTTATCACCCTTGAGATTTAAAGAAAATGCAGTAAGGCTCACAATTTTGTCATAATTATATTGACCTCCTACATTTTTTGAATTGCATAAAACTTAGCCCTTGTCTGTTAGGTTCCGTTAGACCAATGGATGCACTTTTGACATAATTACTCTAACCTTTCTATTTTTTGGATTGCATAATGCTTAGCCCTTGTCTGTTATAATTCCATTAGGATGATAGATGGAGATTGATGACCTGATCAATTTTTATATTAAAAAGTCCATTTTACCCCTAATTAACTAAAGTTAAAACCCACAATATCGGATAATCCCAAAAATAGAATTAGGGAAGAGAGAGAGGGGGTAAAGTCTCAAAGGGAAAAAAGAGAGGGAAGCAAGAGAGGGCAAAGTCACAAAAGGGAGAAAAGGGGGAAGAGAAAGTGTTTACACTTGAAAAGGAAAAATACGACTTTTTGGCGTGGTGTTGATGCTTCGGGTTGCGTAGGCGTGCCAGGACTTTTGAACCTAGTCCAATGTGTAAATTTCTAACTTCTAATTCATAAATTGAGTGTGGCCAGGAAGATGGACCACCAATTCGGATTTTGGCTCAATAAAGAGGACTTCAATATTTTCTCTAGTGATGGTGAAACATTACTAGGTGCAAAGTAAATAAAATTGATCTTGCATTGACTGGAATGAAGAACGGTATGATTAAAATAACTTAGGAAACAACTAATTGCATGAATTAAATTGTTTAAGGAAAAATAATTTGCTAGAAATTATTAAAATACTTTGGAAAATAGATGTGTATAAAGACTTTTGGTTGAGTTTGGTGTTGGACCCCTTGAAATGTTGGCTTTGGAGTTTTTTTATAATGCAATTTGGCCTCCCACTAGAACGCGGCAGCTTGAAATTCTGCCAAGTGTCCCATGATTGATGCCATGAAGCCCAAGTTTAGCAACCACTTTGACCACTAACATATATATATATGCAAAATATCTCATCAGATGGTTGCCATGTGGCCCACTAAGTCTCACTTAATCTCCACATGGGCTTTGACTTAGTAACTAATTAGGAGCATGGAGTAACTTCCATCACCATTGTAGGACACGGGGCTTCAACCACTTCCTACTTTTTAGAACAGTTGGGCTGACCTAATATTTTTCATTATCCATTTAATTAGATTAAATGGAATTATGACTGACACATCATCGCTTGGTCTCATTATTCCTATAGCGTCATTGTCATGCCACATGTTCGCCATGTCATCAATTCCTTGCCATGTGGATATTTTTTCTGCCACATCATTAGAACTTCATGACCTCCTGTCTTATCAGCACTCCAAGACTTAATGTCATCTTGCCACCTGTCTGTGAAGTTATGCGCCATATTCAGGGCGATTGTAAGTTTCTGCACCATGGTCTAGAACTTTTATGGGTGAGTTTCTACACCATGGTCTAGAACTTTTGTCAGTGAGTTCCTACACCATGGTCCAAGCCAAATGTCAAGCAGTTTCTGCACTATGTTTCAGGCTGAATGTAAAATCATGTAACTTGCAAAATCTTCCAGATTTCTATAAGGCTTGGCAGACTTCACAATAGGCCTATTAAGCTTGCAAGAATGTTTGGTGACTGTTGACTGGCCTTCTCTATGGCTAAAAGGCCATAATTCATGAATATTTAGGCTTTATATGGGGCAATTTCTCAAAGTTCAAGCTCCAAATAGCACTTTCTTGCTTTTGACGCCAAGTTGCCATTTTTGGTAGAAACAAAAAGAGAAGTAGAAGCGAATAGAGAAAGAGCAAAAGAGTGTGGAGAGAGAGAGAGAAGGGGGGGCACAGAGAAGAGGGTGAAGATTTTGGTGGCTCGATCGCGGTGGCTTGATCTTGCAATGTTTTGCAATGGCTCAATCTCACAGTTTGTCGCCGTGGTTGGTGGTTTGATCGTGGATCGAGCCACCATGAACAACCATTTTTTTTTATTTGATTCATTTTTGCTTGGGGGTGGGGGATGTGGCTTTTGCAGTATGGATGGTGGTAGGTCATGATGAGAGTTGTTGGCGATGGTGGAGGAGGATGCGAGTGGTTGGTGGCTTGCGATGATGGAGGATGATGAGGTTGGGGGTAAGGGGAAGGTGGAAATTGGAGAGATGTGTGATGGTTGAAGTGGTAGCTGGTGGCAATGGTAGTAGCGAGTTGCGCTATTGTTAATGGAGAGGAATGGAAGCTGTTGTTCATGGAGATAATTGAAAAACACAAAGAAGAAGAAGAATGGCTGTAGTATAAGGGTATATTGATAATTTCATTATGATGCAAAAGGGAAATTTTGTATTTTTATCTCACCCGTTGGCTCAGTTAACTTTACCATTAATGAAAGGGAAATTAGTGTAATTATAGTAAAAAACTGTGAGATGTACTGTTTTATATTTTCAAACCTCAAGGGAGGTCAATAGAATTTACCCTAATTGTTTTTAGTAGCCCCATTGCTAGGCAATACCAACTTGTGCTCAAAGTGTTGGACCAATTGAAATGCTCCATGCCAGGGTAAGGTGCACCTGTCCCAAACACTGTTGATTTTGGACAATTATACAATACTTTGGCGCAACCTAAGTTGGTTGGTTAATAGCCTCAACTATGCTTTTTTATTCATTTATGGTATACAATGCTCTGGAAAAGTAGGACTTATTTGATAAAATTCACAAATTATCAAAAGTTGCAACAAACAAATTTACATTTTATTTTAATTATGTTTAAGCTAATAATGTAATAGGCTAAAATAATAAAAGTTAAATTATAAATGATACTAAACGAGTCAATATTTGATTCTTGCAAGTCTCTTTCATTTTAAACCTATCAAGATTCTTCAATTATATCATTTTAGTTCCCTGCAGGGCGGAGGTCTGAGAAGTTCAAAATGTGATCATTTGTATTATGAGAAAGTAAGTGCCAGACTGTAATTCAAATGTCAAATTTTGTATTGTTGTGTTTATTTAGATATTGTAAGGACTCTAGACTAACAAATATCTATTCGTGAAAATATGATCAAACTATTATCAGGACAATGTTGAAACTCCTAAAGATATCAAGAAGATGCTAGAAATGGTGTGTAGCACTCATTATCTACCTTTGGCTCAGACCTGGGTCTTGTGTAGGCTTTGCAATGTTGTGTCCAGAAATTGTACAACCTATCATAGAGAGAAAGATAAGTTTCATTTCTTACATACATGTTCTTTACATAACCTACAAAAAGGGCAGGGGGTTGTTGGGAGAGCAGTTTTGTCCCAAAATTTGGTCTTCTGCAAAGATATTACTCAATTTAGCATAACTCAGTACCCTTTGGCACACTACGCACGTGAACATGGACTTAAGGGTTGTTTTGCAATCTGCATGCGAAGTAGTTATACTGGAGACAATGTTTACGTGCTAGAATTCTTTCTGCCCCCAAACTACACTAAAGGTGGGGATCCAAGGATTGCTTTGGTTCCATTATTGACAACAATGAAGAAGGATTGTAAAAGTCTTAAGGTCGCTTCTGGAGAAGAACTAGGAGAGAAGTTGTCTATTGAAGTTCTTGATTTTTCAGAGGACGGTAAACTTTATTCTTTTCAAATACCCCAAACTGCAAGATCTCCAATTAGGATGGAGAATGGAGAAGAGATGGTGTTTCTAGATTTATCCGATCAACAATTACCAAAAGTGGATGCTATAGACACTAGAAACAATGTTGTTAGTAACAGTGAAGAAAACAACATTGTTGTTACTTCCTCACATCAACAATGCATAATTAACTCGTCCCAGAGGCCACAAAGAAAAGCTGGAATTCCAATTAGCTTGGAGGATCTCCAGCAACATTTTGGAATGAAACTTGATGATGCTGCAAAAAGCCTTGGCAGTAAGCTTACATATGTGGGATAAGCCATTCTTAGCTACATCCTTGGGAAAATTCATATACTTTTGGTACTAATAAACAAAGTATTTTTCTTATCAGAATTTGAATCTTTTGTTTTTCAGTTAGCCGATCCACAGTGAAGCGTGCTTGCAGGGAATATAATATCACCTGGTGGTCACCTCGCAAGAGAAGTAAGGATAACCACTTGCTTTCCAATAAACTTGTCCAAGCTGCTGTTCAGGAACAAATCGGAGAACCTAGTCAGCCTCCAATTTCTGATCCACCTCGTAAGCAAGACGTCGCTACTGCTTCTCGCCCAAAACCACGTTTTACAGTAGCACAAGACACAAGTGTTGCAACCATAAAGGCAAAATATGGAGATGATTTTATTAGATTTCAGCTCCCTGTGTTGTCTGGAATGATAGAGTTTCAACAGCAAGTGGCAAAGAGGCTGAACCTTAAGGGTGGAACTTACCGTGTCAAGTATCAAGATGAGGACAATGACTGGATTTTAATAGCTTGCGATGAGGACTTGCAAAATTACATCTGCAATTCAATATCACAAGGGAGGAATACAGTCACAATGTTGCTTCAGTCAATTACAAATTGCCCACCTTAAATTCTTGCTAAATATCCATTTATCACTTTAGCTGCATGTGGAATTCTCTAGTTTACATTAAAAAGAAAAAATTCAAGGTTTGTATCTTGTATGTTTGTTACAAGTATGTATGGATTTTATGTATTGTATGTTGTTTACTTAATTGATTGAGCTATTTTGATGAATTGATATTATGAATTATTTTTCATAAAAAACCAACTGGCTAGGGAACCCATCATTCCTGTTTAATATTCGACTAGGACTAAGGCATCATGTTAGTGAGAGGCTTTTCCAAATAATATTTCTTATTATTTTTATATCATAGTTTATTATATAAAATTCATTTTTCTATATGATTTTTACGATGCAAATCTTAATGCGTAATTAAAATCCTTTACAACAGTTATAAAAAAATAAAATAAAATAATTCTTAAATCTTAGGGTATGGTATAGTATTTCTTTCTGCCCTTTTTTGTCATTCCTTCTATTTTACGAGTGAACTCAAAACTGGCAGACTTAGACGAAGAAATCAGTAGCAGTTTCCAACGCTCATTTTCATGATCATTTTATTTCTTTCCTGTAGTTTAGGTTTAACTTTTTATTTTTTGTTTCACATTTTTTCTGCTGCATTGTCACATTAATTAACTTGATATATATGGTACTCATTTTCACATGAATACACAATTTTCTTTTGAATCTGCAGCAATTGTGCGTTAAGGTTGTGTTCAATCTTAAATTCGGGGAAGGAAATAAATAAATAATTGAAATAGAAGTTAATTTTTTGGTAAATTCCACCATTGGTCCCTTTAATTTGAGTGAAATTTTACTTTGATCCTCAGTTTTAATTTGGACAATTTGGTTCCCTATATACTTCCAATTTTGTTACTATGTGATCTCTCTATTATGCGTTGTTGACCTTTTAAATGGAAAAAAATCACATACAAAACTAAAGGGATTAAAGTAAAACTCAAAATAAAATAAAGGGACCAAAGTTAATGTTTGCTAGGAAGTTTCAATTTGGCATGATTGAATATATGCCACATGCCCCTAATCTATTTTATTTTGTTATTTTTGCTGCAGAACAAGTAAAATCCTTCAAACTTACAACCCAAATAACTAGTATCGTTCCTTTGTATGGATTCTTTTAGATTGTGTTTGGTTGAAGAATTTAATGAGAGAAATAGAAAGGGAAAAGAAAATGCAATCCCACTTCTTGACGATGCTGCAGCAAGCCTTCACGATAAGCTTACAACTTGGGAAAAATTGTTACTAGCTTGATTCTTGGGAAAATTCATACACTTTTCCTAGTAGCAAACTTAAGAGTATTTTTCTTATCTGTATTGTTCCTTTTGCAGATAGCCAATCGACATTGAAGCGTGCTTGTAGAAAATATGATATCACCGGGTGGTCATGTTGCAATAGAAACAAGGATAACCTCTCCCTTTCCAATAAATTTGTCCAAGGCGTTGCTCAGGAACAAATCCGAGAATTTAGTCAACCTCCAATTTCTGATTCACCTCGTAAGCAAGATTTGGCTACTACTTGAGCAAAGGTACATTCTATGGCAACACAAGATACAAGTATTGTGACCATAAAGGCAAAATATGGAGAGATTTTTATTAAATTTTAGGCTCCTGGTGTTGTCGGGGATGGTTGAGTTTCAACAAGAAATGGCAAAGAGGCTGAACTAGGATGGAACTTACGGTGTCAAGTATCAAGATGATGGCAATAATTGGATTTTAATAGTTTGCGAGATTATATTTGTAAATCCAAATCATTGGGGAAGAATATAGTCACAATGTCACTTGAGCCAAATTACAATAAATTTGTCTAAGATGTCGCTCTGGAACAAATCCAAGAATTTAGTCAACCTCCAATTTCTAATCCAACTCGTAAGCAAGATTTGGCTACTACTTGCGCAAAGGTACATTCCAAGGCAACATAAAGATGCAAGTATTGTGACAATAAAGGCAAAATATGGAGAGAATTTTATTAAATTTAAGCTCCCTGTGTTGCCAGGGATGGTTGAGTTTCAACAAGAAGTGGCAAAGATGCTAAACTTGGAGGATGGAACTTACAGGTGTCAAGTATCAAGGTGATGGCAATAATTGGATTTTAATAGCTTGTGATGAGGAACTCTGAGATTATTTTTGTAAATCCAAATCACTGGGGAAGAATATAGTCACAATGTTGCTTCAGCCAAATTACTAATTGTGCACCTTAAACCCTTGTTGAATATCCATCTATCACTCTATTTGTTTGTGGAATTCTTGGTTTATGAATTTGTTGCTTTTCCATGAAGTACATTAATTGTAGTTCTCAACGAAAATGTTAGCATATCACCTATGAACCCCAACAAGAGAACAAAGGCAAAAGTTCAACAGCAAGCACATGAAAACATGGACTGGACATCAATAAGTCAGTCCACACAGCAAACTTCATAGTGTCTTATTAATATGGGGTTGAAGAAATATACTTTTGAAATTTTATAGTATCACAGCTCAACAAGTCATTCATTAACCGAATTTCAGATCTTTCAGTGATACCCAATTGGCGCTGGAGGTTCCTTCAGCTGATGTCCTTGATAATGTATGTCCTACAATTCATTCCAATAAACCATTAATTGCTATCCAAACAAGGCATGAGAAATATGAAAATATATCGGGTTAGCTTTTCTCCAGTGACTGAACAGTCCAGTCAGATGTTTTCTACCACAAGGGCGCATATGCAAAAAAGGAGAAGATTATTACCGATGCAAAGTGGTTGACATCACAGTGGTGAGCCTCGTCTGCTCTTACAACCATGACCACATCACGGAGAGTGGAGTCAGGCGGCAGCTGCCAGTAATCAATGGTAATTGCCGGAGCAGGGACATTCTCAGTTTTCCCCTTGTCCAACTCCTTCAGAAACTCGGTGTAGGAATGAATTGCCTCCTCCTCCAAGTACCCAACCACACGAGGAGCTAGTTTTGGCAAAATGAGGTATGCCAAGAAGTAAGCATTGAAGAAAACCCCCTGGACTGTGAACACGAGGGCACGCTCGTACCACCTTGGCTTGGCTACCCCCATGAAAGTCATGAGGTGCATACCTTCGTTTTTTGCTTCATCCAACAATGTCTTGATCCAACCACCGCTGTGCTCAAACCGCCTCAATGACTTGCAATGCAACGGCATCCCTCCAACCATGCCTGGGACAGCAGCCACAGTTTCTAGCATCATTGCACAACATCCACATCGTCTCTGTTTCATACAGTGCACATATTTAGACCACAAATTTTGATCTAAATTTTTTTTCACTATTCACAAATTTAATTGCATTTTTGCCAATAAAAAGTGTCAGAACAAAAAAACAATAATTTTTTTTTTTTGGAGAGAATATATTGCATCATCTTACGTACCTGGAAAAAATATATCGGTAGGGTATCTAAGAGCCTTAATGGTCCAATAAGCAATTTTGTCCCAGAACGTTACAGGGACATAGTGCTTCTTCATTCAGATCAATTGACAGGTCCGATTTGTAGGTCTCCCATGGCTTCCATCAATTCCATTAAAAAGCCAACATCAACAGCCATATATTAACAACACCATCAAATTAAATCCATATATTTGGTTACATAACAACTCAAAATAGGCCCTTGTGGTGTTAGGAAATAAGGGGTCTTCATTAATTTTATTTGTAGTTTTTTTTTATTAACAATTGATATTAAATACGTATGAACTCATGAAGAAAGAAGAAAATAGTCTCGGGAGGCCTTAACATAAGAGTTTGTTTTATTTTTATTTCATTTAACTTATAACTTCAAAAATATAAGTGGGTCACCTCAAATAGTCTCTTCAAATCTTTTAAGGGAGCTTTTTTGATAAATCCATTTTCTAAGAGTTTTATTCCATCCAACCCATATTCTTTTTGACTATTCCATTAGGTCCAATTTGAGATAAGAAGACCAAAATACCCTTTTCATCTACTTATGTTCTATTTAGTTCACATTATTTTCTTATATTTCAATAAGTCCTATGGGTGACATAATTATCAAAATACCCCTAATGTGAATATTCACATCGTCTGGGTGACATAATTACCAAAATACCCCTAATGTGAATGTTCACATCGTCAATGTGAATGTTCACACCGTCAATGTGAATGTTCCTATTTGAGGTAAGAAGACCAAAATATCCTTTTCATCTACTTATGTTCCATTTAGTCTGAACTCATGAAGAAAGAAGAAAATAGTCTCGGGAGGCCTTAACATAAGAGTTTGTTTTATTTTTATTTCATTTAACTTATAACTTCAAAAATATAAGTGGGTCACCTCAAATAGTCTCTTCAAATCTTTTAACACTAAGCAATTTTAGAGAATGTTTGGTAATAGAAAATTGTTCGCAGTTTTAAAAAATAAATAAAAACCATTTATAAATAAAATTATAAGTCAAGTTCCACCATATTCGCACGGCAACTCTGAAAGATAAACTGAACAATGGTAATGATCGAGAAGCCCGTGAGGGTGTTTATCACACAAAGAAAAATACAATCCCGAAGAGATAAAATTCAGACAAAAAGAAAACAGTTAAACAACCATTGTACTGAGGCCATATATTTATAGTTTACATGGTGGCCTTTGATCAATGATTGCAAACATTCAAATTGCAATGTCAAACCAACAGTCACCATGTTTCCAATCATTGTGACTGTTTATTTTAAATTCAAAACTTCCAGTTGTATTTCTACCTGCGGGAAGGTTTTATATTACCACCAATTGGGTTATGATTCGGTGTGTGGCAATCCACCATATTATGGTGTGAACACTCTCATACCTTCATGACTCATCATCGTTGCTGGTTCGTCAAACCCAAAAAAAAAGGTGATCGAAATTCAGGAGGAAAAGCGAGAAGTTTGGAATGAAATTTTTTTCCCAAGAAACGCTTTGTATGTGTGTGCTCTGTATTGTGGTCTGTTTTTTTGGTTTTGTAAGGGTTTAAGGGAGGGTTTTATTTTTGTTGCGTGGTGGGTTATGTATGCCCATATGTGGTATTAACCATGATTAGATGTGTGGTTAGCCTCATGTGCATGACATTGGTTAGGCCTGTATGGTTGGGCCACTCAAAAATGTATTAAATTGTATAAAAATATATAAAATTATATTAAAATTTTAAGTTTTTTGATATTAAGGCAAAAGTTCTTAAGGTGTGTGTGTTAT